TTCTTTCCCCTCTCGTGAGAGCGTATCTGCGACTATGTTCATTTTACCTTTGTGGAATTTTAATTCAAATTGGAAACATGAGAAGAACTGACCCCACCGAATCTGTTTGGCTGACAATTTGCAGGGGGATGTTAGGTACTGTAAGTTTCTATGATCAGTCCACACCTCAAATGGGATTCTGCTCCCTTCTAGTAGGTGCCTCCAACATTCCAATGCCCTCATTATCGCTAGTGCCTCCTTTTCCCAAATCGGCCAATTGTGTTCTGTTTCGGTGAACTTTTTGGATATGAACCCACAAGGCTTCAAGTTCCCCTCAGAATCTCTTTGCATAAGTGCTGCTCCATATGCCCAATTAGATGCATCGCAATGCAGCACGAACTTCTTGGCCGTATCAGGGTGTGTTAAAAGTGGTTCCTCCGTAAATCTACACTTTAGCTTTTCGAAGGCATCTTGACATTCTTTTGACCATACTAGCTTAGCCCCCGGGGATCGTGTTTTTGCTGACTCCCCCTTCCCTTTTGTTTTCAGCAGTTCTGTGAGTGGTAATGTGAGCTGGGCAAAATCTTTTATGAATGAGCGGTAAAAGTTTGCGAACCCTAAAAATGACTGTAGTTGTTTGCGTGTGGTTGGGGGCTCCCACGCTCTCACATCTTCCACCTTCGTGGGGTCCATAGCTATACCTTTGTGGGATATTCTATATCCTAAGAAGTCAATTTGCTTCTTATTAAACTCACATTTGGCTAGTTTGGCGAACAATTTTGCCTCCCTTAGCCTTTGGAGTACCTCCCTCACCAATTGAGTATGTTGATCTTCATTTTTACTAAAAATTATTACATCATCAATATAACAAAAGACCCCACGATACAATAATGGGTGTAACACTTCGTTGATCATCTGCATGAATGCCCCTCCCCCCCTTTTAGACCGTGAGGTAAAACACAGAATTGGTACAATCCCAACGCACTTGAGAATGCAGTTTTCCACCTATCCTCCGGTTTCACTCTGATTTTGTGGTAAGCCTCAATCAAGTCCAGTTTCGTAAACACCCTCCCCTCCGCCAGTCTAGATAACAAGTCCTTGGTTAGAGGTAAAGGGTAACAGGTGCTTGTGCTCACAGCGTTTAGCCCCCTATAGTCCACACACAATCGAAGTGAACCGTCCTTTTTCCATCTAAATAGCACGGGGGCCCCAAGGGGGGAATCAGAAGGTTCAATGAACCCCCGCGCGAGGTTTTTGTCTATGTACTGTTTCAATTCGTCCATCTCCCTAGCCGACATAGGGTAAATCTTGGCTTTAGGGAGTGTAACGTCCTTGTGTAATTCAATTTTCACCTCAACTCTCTTTTTGGGGGGTAGTCTGTCAGCTTCCTTCTCATCAAACACATCAGCAAAGTCCTGGTATTGGGGGGGAATGTCCTGTACCCAATCCTTTGGCTTACTTTCCTCGCCTCTACCTCCCATCCCCGTTGGCGTCTTTGGGAATCTCAGGCTTCTCTCCTCCCAATCTATGCAGGGATTAGCTCCTCGCAGCCATGGCATCCCCAGGATTATATTGTATGTTGCTAATGGGGAGACAACAAATGTTATCTCACCCTCCCAGCTGCCCACTTTGCATTTCACTCCCTTAACTTCAAAGGTCGCCGGGGCGCCTGATGCCATCGACCCGTCTAATTGAGTGAAAGCTATGGGGGTCTGCAAAGACATTTTCTCGCACTCCAGTTCCTCTGCTAATTATGGAGTCATTATGTTCCTGGAGCACCCACAATCTACAAAGGCTTTGCAGCTAGCCCATTTACCCATCCCTTCTAACCTGATGGGGAAGACTAACATTCCAGGGCTGTGACTCACCAAGGATCCCATTGGGGCCTCCAGGGGGAAACATTCCTCCGCTTTCTTTCCAGCAGCGGCTTTGGTTTTGGGCCGTGGGGGATCCCCCCCCTTCCTCTGCCAACAGCCGGAGGCTTTATGGCCTAGACGGCCGCAAATAAAGCACCCATTCTGCCGGCTTCTCTCTCCACTCGCAGGCTCTTTCTTGGGCGGCTCCCCTCCAGGCTTCCGGCTCTCCATCCTCGGCGGTCCCGCCTGCGCCGCGGCTCCTCGATGCCTCCTGATTTGGACCAATGTCGTCTCAACCTGCCCGGCTAGTTGGATCCATCCTTAGATCGTTCCCGGGTCGTCGCGGTGGAGCGCCCAGGCCAGCAATTCCTTCCTCAAGCCCTCTTTAAATATTTCTATTTTGGTCTGGGCTGACCACTCTGGAACCCTTTCTGCTAGCAACTGGAATTCCTCGGCGAACTCCGACACACTTTTCTGGCCTTGAGTGATGGTTTTCAACCTATCTCTCGCCTTGATGCGCTCGAGGGGGTCCCGGAAGCGCGCTTCCAAAGCAGCTAAGAACGCCCTCGCCGACCCCAGACATGGGTCACGTCAGGCATGGAGCTGGACGTACCAACTTGCGGCACCTCCCCTCAACGCTGCTCCTACGGCTCTCACTCGGCTGGCCTCCGACCTGAAAGTATGCATGTTATCCTCCAGATACCCTCGTACCAGCGTCAGGAAGAAATCAAGGTCTTCAGACTTCCCTCCAAATTCTGCACGTAACTCCTCTCTCCTCTGTTGCAGGGGTTGGGACTGCATCCCCTGGGCGCCTGCGTGTGCCATTCCTCCCGGTTGGGCGGGCTGCCCAAACAGCGCTCCGGGTTGCCCCGTACCACGTCCTGCACCGGTGGGACTGCTACAGGAAAGGACTGCGGGGTTGTAGCGGCTCCCCGTGGCATTCCTTCTCCTCCGTCCTTTGGAGGTTCCTGGGTCCTACGTCTCGCCCCCAGGATCTCGCCGCTCCCTGCACTCGCCTCCCAAGGCGACTCCGCTCGGGGCTGGGATTCCTCCAGCAGGGGGGCCAGGCGATCCATCAGCCTTGACATCATGGCTAATATGGTTTCCATGGCAGCCACTCTCTCCTCCAAGCAGCCATACCTTTGGGGGGATGTGAAGTCTATCTCGCTGCTGCCCCTTCCTGCGACCTCTCTCGTTCGCCTTTGGGTGACCCCGTTAGGGTTAGCATACGCTGTCGAGGAGGCGAGCGCAGCCACTCTTTCGAGCTCTGCCTCGGCTTCTCCAAGAGGCGATGTTATTTTTCCTCCCATCGCTCCGAGGACGGTGTCTTCTTCCTCCTCCAAAGGGGATTCGCTCCCCTCTTCCATCATAGCACCTCACTACTGCTGTAGGATGGTGCGGGAATCCCGGCTTAATGTCAGCTCACAACAGCTGGGCTCAATGATGACACGAGACTTCCATCGTAGTCAAACAAAGATCTTTACTGTCAGATACTCAGACACAGAAAAGCCGGGATTGTCTGGTCGCAGCAGACACTCCCTTATATACACTCCCACCAGTTCAAAACGTGAGCTCCCGCCAAACCCAATACCCCGTGCAAAGCTTCCCGCCACCAGACAACTGCTTTCTTCCAAGGTCACCAGCTGCAGTTTCCTTATCAGGGTAGAACGTCAGGATTCTAGTTTTCGGCGCCAAAATCTGGGCTCCGGAAACTGGATCCTGACACCTGGTGCTCCTCAAATGATGGCATCACTCAAATGACGCCAAGGTTTACACCAGCTTTTGGTATTCTCCCCCATAAATCTACCAATGAAACCAAATTAAAAATACTACTCTGAAGACAATTAAACAGCCTTGCAGAAACAGTATGGGATGGTTTTTTTTAAAAAAGCTCCAAAAGAGAAAAGTCCTGTCTGGCTCTAATGGGCAACCAGAAAGAAAAAAAATCACACTGAGGGCAAGAGAGTGAGTTATGAAGAATTAAGAGTGACATGTGAGAACAGGCAGGATTTATATTGCTGTGGATACACCATCAACATGTCGCCAGCTCATCATGGGCCAATTTAACTAGCCTCTACTCAGGAAGGCTATCAAAATTACCCCTTTGCCCACAGTGGCTATGGCTGTGCAGACTTGAGTTCAGATATTGTCTTCCTTTCACATGATACATGTAGAAAAATGGGTTAGGATTTTACAAAAAAAATACTGAATGAATGCATTACATTGGAATCTGAGTATTGTACAATGATTGTATGAAACACTGAGATGAAAACCCCTGAAAGTCTGGCAAAAATAGAGAAATAACATTTTAAAAAAGTGACATTCCAAAGGTCAAAAGTTGAACAGTGCTTCAACAAAATTTTCACATCTTCACCTAGATGCTAAACGCATCTTTTTGTTTTTATTTTGCAGTCTCAGAACAAAATAGAAGTTGTTCACAGATCAATACTACTGTTTGTGCTGCAGACTATGTAAGCTGCAACAAGCTCAGAAAAGGTCACGCGGAGAAAGCTGGTGATACAACATTTGGAAACAAAGTTCCACATATATTTTGTATGAAATCTATTTCAGAAGCCAGCTTTCTTCTCCTTTCCACCACCCGCACCTCCGGTGCATTGTAAGACATATAGAAATGAACTGATGGAGCCATAAGCACAAGATAAAAATAATTTTGAATGAACTCAATGGAGCTTAATACCACCATATAATATGCTTGAGATGAGTTCATTAGCATAAAATATCCCTCTGTTAGTAATATTCTCATTACATAAAACCTAGGGGGGAAAATTCAGAACGTGCATTCAGGAAGATTTAACCTAATTTGAAATAAATACAAATTAATTCAGTATTTATGTCAATCCATCCTAGAACTGAGATTAACAAGACTTTAAAACACATCATGATTTTTAAAAGTACCAAAAACAACAAGTCTTCAGAAGGAAATATATGCACATACAACATCATCACAACAGTACTACAGCATGTTAACAATTATTATTCACATACCTTTGTTTACTTTGTCACCTGGCAAACATAATTAGTTCCACTGCCACTGATACAGAAAAATACATATTACTTCTCCTTATCTGTCTTTGATATACATTTCAAATGATTCTATACAGGGATATAGGATTCCAACATAAAGGAAAGAAATGAAATTCTTACCAGTTTCACAGCTAGCACCAGTGAACCCCTGTGGACAGGCACAGACGTTGGAAGCAATGCAGGCCCCACCATTTCTACAACCATCTTTGCAGAAGGCTAAAAAAAATTAAATAAGAACAATAATGATAATAATTTGAGGCTTTCTCTTTGCAACTATGAGAAACAAACACCCTCAATCCATTATACCTTAAAGAACGCCTGCACAACATGTGTTTACTTCATAACACTAGAGAAAAAATCCACTTAATATCCGGTTTCTGCCTCCTGCAGAATTTATTTATTTATTTTATTTCACTTACTTATACCCCACCCTTCTCACCCCAGGGGGGGGGGGGACTCAGGGCGGCTTACAGAGGAGGCACAATTAGATGCCCAAATCCATTCACAAGCAGTACAAAATACAAAGCAATTCAACAGTTAAATTAAAAACATCAATACATCATAAAATAATAAAACAATCTCATGCTCAGGGTTCAGAGTCCATATATCCATTCCATTCCATTTTCCCTTGTCTATCGTCAGATCCTTAAATTAGTTGTCAGAATTCTGGGGTTTGTAGTTTAGTGAGGCTGTTAAAAGCTCCTCCCTAAACTACAAACCCAGAATTCTGCAGGAAACAGAAACCGGATTTTAAGTGGATTTTTTCTCTAGTGTGATGAGGTATGTGGTCCAGGACCAGATGGGGCCCGCACAAGTAGTTGGTGCAGCACCACCATTCTCAGCTCCATGCTCCTGGACAAAGGGCTTTGTCCCATCTTCCCATTCCCTTGGCACTGCACGTTCAGAAAGAGAATGAGAAAGGGGGAAGCCAGCTGGAGGGTCTGGACTCCAGAGCTGTATCTAGTTTCTCTCTGTGTCTGTCTGTTTGGAGAAATGAGAGGAAGCCCTGCATGCGAGAAACAGGAAGTGAAATAGCAGTTGTCTATTTCTCCTGGCACACAGGGCTTCTTCCTCTGTCTCCTGTTCCCTTGCTACTATGCATCCAGAATGAGACGGAAAGATAGGGAAACCATCTGAAGAGTCTGGACTATGGATCTCAGCACAGAGAGAAAGAGAAAAAAAGGAGTCAGAATCTATCCCCAAGTTTTCTGGGACTGGAGGCCAATTTAAATGAGTGACTTCGTGCAGAATTGGTCTGGAGTAGAGAGGCCAGCTACTCTACCTTTCTCCATTCCACTGACTATCACATTAGGTCAAATCCAATTCAGCCCTGCAGGATGGCCACTTACCTGCATTTTTCAAAAATTTTTTACATAGTGTTATTTGTCACTGCAGCAGTAGCTACAGAGCTCCCAAGGGCTCCTGGCTGTTGCCTGGTGCCTTTGTCAATGACAGCAAAGGCTCCCATGTGATTCAGGGAACAGGGAAAGGAGAAGGTGATCTGCTTTTCCTCTCCAAGTTTTATGGAAGTCCTTGGTCACCATGCTGTAGATTGTAGGGAATGCAGAATGGCAGAACTGGCCTGTGTAAACAGTGGGGCCTGTTCTCCGGGCTGAACTGTTGTGTTGCTCCATAGCTTCAGGGAAGCTCATGAAGATTCCCTGACCTTTCCTAATGCAGGACACAATTGCATTAATCGGTTTTACCCTGCACTGGGGGCAGGAAGGCCCTAAGTCTCAATTTTCTCTCTATTTGGGCATAAAAAATTGAGTGCCATCCACTCACACAATCTTCATCTGAGACTTAATTGCTCACTTCCAGCTCATAATGTTTTTTAATCCCTGAGCTGGAGAAAATTGTTTGGCTATCTTAGAATTCTTGTTGTGACCTTGTTATTTTGTGGAGCAGCCAACTATTATATGCCAACTATTACATTATATGACATAATGTTAAAAATGTCTCAGTGGGTATATATCAAATGGTATCATTTCAAACTGATGGACCTGAATATTTAAAATCAATCATCCAAGTCCAAAAGATTTATTACCGAGGAAGGAAAATTCTGCTGATTTTAAGACTTGATACTTTACCTTTGCATACAGTGCCATTTCCAGTGTATCCTGGTTTGCAAATACAGTTATGCCCTCCTACAGTATTGAAACATAGTGCATTTTCATCACAGTTGTGTTGGTTTGTGAGGCATTCATCATGCTCTAAAAAGTTAAAAATAAATGTGTGTTATTTGGATCACTTTGCAACACATCCAAATGCTTTGGATATCCACACTTTGACATGTTCTTCCAATTCCATCAGATTTCTTTTTTTTCTCTGAGATTGCTTATGAATACCATCCTTACTACACTAAAGATGAAATTTTATAATCATTTACATAGGAACAAGTCTCATTAACCTCAATTGCAGAATTGATGCAGTTTGATGCTATTTTAACTGCTGTGGCTTCATACTATGGAATCACATGAGTTGCAATTTTACAATGTCTTCAGCCTTCCCTGTCAAATAATGTTGCTGTCTCACCAAACTACAAATCCCAGGATTCCTTGGTTAAAGTGGTTAAAGTGGTGTCAAACTGTATTCACGCTATAGTGCAGATGCATCTTCAAAAAGATCATTGTGTCTGGTGGAGCCCTCCCCCAATTAATGTAAACATACAATTACAACCTAGATGGTTTTCTAATCTGAATTTTAGACATAAGGAACAGGCAGTCTGATGATCCAAAGGGAAATGTTTAAAAAAGTGAACAGTAAATTTAGGGTGGTTCCAGACAAGACTAAAACCTATGCCAAAGCAAGTTTAAAAAATCTGCTTCAGCGCATGTTTGAGTCTCCACTGCCTCCCAAAACCCAAGCTTTCCCAGGATGTGTGGCTACCTACAAATTTCTCCTTTCCCATCCTCTCCTTGAACGTCATTTCCTCATGCCCTCCTGGCATGAGGAGGGAACTTATGGTGGCCAGATACCTTTTATTTAACTTTTCAGGGTACATCGGGGGGGAGGGGGTCTTGGAGGGAGGGCGAGTACCACCCTGCACCTCTGGGCTCCAGGAGCCCTAAAAAGGTATGAGATGGCAATTAGGATCCACCCCTGGGTTGTCCAAGAACTACCCGGAAGTGAGTCTCCACAGGCCCAATACGTCATTAGACCCGGGCCTTTCAGGAAGGCCTGGATCTAATGGGGTATCAAATTAATTTGGAACAAACAGGGAAACCTTGGTTTGTTCCAAATTAATCTGTTTTTACCAGAGGCATTGTTTGGATGCCTCCAGTAAAAACCAACAGGTCTGAGTTTTTGGGCCTGTCTGGATGGGTCCTTAGATACTCAGGGCCCTTGCACACTTTGAAATGCTGATTCCTGCCTTGATGACTGAGTGGTGGTGAGATAACCCCCTCCACCCAGTGCCAAATCCCCTTCTCCAAAGCTCATTGGTTTCATTTTCAAACCATAGAAAGGTAAGTCATGCCTTTGTAAGGAGACTTTATCTCTATTTATAAGGTTTAAACAGGGGCTGGGCAGGGAGTGAGGAGGGATGGCAATGGGGATGCCTTCTGGGATCACAAATGGCAATACCAGGAGACAGTCCTCACAGCCTCTATATCTGCAAAGGTCTGGATCTTCCAGCAAGATCCAGACCTTTGCAGGTATTTTTAAAACCTGGAATAGAACCAGATGATCAGGTTTATTTCAGGCTGAAACAAATTAGCCTGGAGTGTCATTTGACAACCTTAGCTAAACTGTTTCCTATGCCACATTATGTAACCATGTAGATGGGGCCTCAGCTATGTATATAAAAGGAACAAGAACACATTTCCTGATAACAAGCTGAAAATGGTTAGTGGTTAGTAACTGATTCACAGTGCTTACTCCAAAACTAAGCAATAGTAAACACAGATGAACTTTCAGTACTGAAAGAGAAGGAAATTCTGTGCAATATAGTATATAGCCTTTCCTCCCCTTTTGCCAACAATTCAAAGCCATTGAATCAGTGGCTCCCAATACCATCAGAAAGCAGATTATGAATGCAATTTTAGTTAGAGCCATATGATCTAAAGTTTGATACAACTCTTAATGCTTATGGTAAGGCAAGACTTTTGTATTTTATTCTATCACTGTTTCATCTTCTTTGTCAATGGTCATGCAATGATACACTTTACTGTCACAAAAACACAGTGAGATAAGTTAGTCCAAGCGAGTTGCTGGCCCAAATTCACAAAATCAACTTCATGGCTGAACAGTAATGTGAACCTTGTTGTTTATGGGTTTGGTCTATCACCAACCACTAAACCTCACTGGCTCACCGTAATTCCTTCCATCAAGGAGTCTTGTGCTTACCATTCAATGTACAAGACATGCTTTCTTTTTCTAGTTCTGTAGCATTTAACAACAGACAGTGGAGCTCATAAATTTTAACAGCAATTATTCCAAAACTTTAAACAGGTCACTTGAACTTTACTGACTACTGTCCTTTAATGAGAATGAAACACTCGTTTTATGTACTCTTTCAAGTAAGGCTAAACATTTTAAGACTGCAAACCTGTTTGAACTTCAGATTTCTGTCTAGGTGCTAACTGGACACTATCTTTTCAGAAATATGATTTGTTCGGGTTGATAAACTATAGTTTCTCCTTTATGCCCCCCTCTCTTTGATGCTTCAGCCTGCTGTTTTCACACTATGTTCCAGGGAACCCTGGGGTTCTTCTGAAGCTTATCAGAAGTTCTTTAAAGAAAAGATCATTTTAGCAGCAAGCTTCATTAAAATACAGCTCGCTGCCTACTGCTACTGCTGCCAATCCTTTCCTGCCATGTGCTTCCACAGAAATAAATTTGGTGTGCATATGGTCATTGCAAGACAAAAGCCCAACAAAACCCATGCCATCCATTTGACATGAACTGACTGTGGGCCTTAAGGTTATTTTCCCCAACCTACCTGTTTGAGGTTGGAATAAAAAAACACTGGTTTCCAAGAAAATTTAGATGTGGATTTTTTTTCTTAATGAAACAAGTTGGAAAAGTTAGATGAATTTTCAATGATTGACCTGAAGGTTTCAATGCTTTGCTGTATTTGCTGTGGACTGTGGTTCATCATTTTGCCCCACAGTGGCGAAATGGGTCAAACCTTTGTGCCAGCAAAACTGCTGACTGACAGGTCAGAGGTTCGAATCTGGGGAGAGCGGGTTGAGCTCCCTCTATCAGCACTAGCTTCCCATACAGGGGCATGAGAGAAGCCTCCCACAAGGATGATAAAACATCAAACATCCAGGCGTCCTCTGGGCAACGTCCTTACAGACGGCCAATTCTCTCACACCAGAAGGAACTTGCAGTTTGTCAAGTCACTCATGACATGAAAAAATAATTTTTCAGTACAGACTCATCCACTTCAGGTTGATGCCCATTGTAGTGCAAAATGGATTGTGGCCATTATGATTTGGTTATATTTTGATAATTAGACAATCATTAGTCTGCATAATTAGACCGATTTGGGGGACATCTACCATGACCACTTAATGTGGCTTGAAGGCAGTTTTAGGCCCCTTATACTCTGTTTTATAATCCAGATTAATCAAATAATCCATATTATCTCCTTTGAACTGGATTATATGAGTCTACAGTGCCATATAATCCAGTTCAAATCAGATAATCCCAATTTTCTATAATAGTGTATAATGGGCCTCCTATATGCTGTTCAATGCAACATTATAGCCACTCATGCCACATGCATGCACAGCCATAGACATGAAAGACTTCAATCCAGGATAAGCAAAATCAGGGGTTCCTGGAACAGGGTTGAAGCCAACCTCTGCAGTGTATATAACACCATCCAGACCTCAACCCATTTCCAAGGCTTCCCATGTAATCATCCCCTACATTGAAATCGCATCCTCAGTTGTTAGTTTTACACCACTCTAAAGCCCCTTCTACATTGCCACATAAACCCCAGATTATCTGATTTGGAGTCTAAAATAATTCAGTTCAAAGCAGATAATGTGAATGAAAAAGGGAAAGGAAACGTAACATGAATATCAAGCCATTTTGGCTTCTCCAGATTTGCAAATGTGGAAGATTCAGGCACCTTCTACACTGCCATGTAACCCAGATTATCAAATTACATTATCTGATTTGAACAGGATTATATAAATTTACACTGCCTTATAATCCAGTTCAAAGAAGATACTCTGGATTTGATATGGCAGTGTAGAAGGGGCCTCATGGAAACAATGAAAGGAAAATGAGCTTACAGTATATTTCCCAGTTTTCCGAAAATGGGAATAAGAAGATATTTTATCTAGGGGCCCTTCCACACAGCCATATAACCCGGAATATCAAGGCAGAAAATCCCTCCATTTATGTTTTGAACTGGATTATCTGAGTCCACACTACCATGTATTCCAGTTCAAAGCAGATATTGTGGAATTTTCTGCCTTGATATTCTGGGTTATATGGCTGTGTGGAAGGGCCCTGGGTCTGTCTGTGTGTCACCTTTAGTAAGAACTGTAAACAAATAATAAATCTTAGTATCATAATCAGGGCATTTGGTCCTTTAGTGTTTAGCAAAATATATGAAGGAACTGTTCGTTTTGATTCCGGAAGCATGCAATTTAATTACTTCAAACTCAGCATAAATAACTATATCATTGCTCATAAAATACTCTGGTCATTTCAATAATCTTGCTAGACCATATGATGCAGTGACCTCCAGAAAAAGTAAATTCTACAAGATGATTTCAAGAGAAGAATCATTCACATAGATTAAGAAAGAAGTCACAGCTTGCAAATCAGGCCACGGGTGTCCAGTGTGCTATTGAAATTAAGTAGATGGGATTACCTCTTGTTTAGAAATATCTTAAAATTATTAAAATGTACTGAAAATATTTTTTCTCTTTTCATATAATGGAAGGGAAATCATAAAAATATATATCAAGTATTGATAAAGAGAATAACCAAATCTATGGTAAGGAATACAGGCTTCGTTTTATCCCATTCTGGAAACTGATATCTAAAATTTCTTGGTTTTCCATGCCCAGTTGATTATTTAATGTAGCGTTTAGAACAAATAAGGGCTTTCAGACATTCTGCTCACAAATTCAATCATCTTTTAAATGCAACTGATTCATTTTTCCTGACGTCTTCTATTACCCAGCTCTTTGCTTCTGTGGTCTGGTGCCTGTGAGAATATCCCTTATGCAAAATGTTTGTGACT